AGGACCATCCTAGTCCAGGTAAAGGAAGAGGTGCCCCAGAATATGATGTTCTTGAAGGGGAGATTGACCCAGATACTTTAGTCCCTGTCGCCTCGCAATCCATGCAAATTGCTCCGTTTGATGTATGGTATTACCCTGATTACAACTTCATTTCAATTCACAACAAATTAGTTACAACGATGAATACTTATACCGGTGGCCCTTTGCAGCAAGCCGTTTCTGGTACAACAACCTTGAATCACTCATGGTATTCAGAAGGAATTGGGAAACATTTTCAAGTATATGGGTACGAGTATCTAAATGATGATGATGATGGATACTTGACATGGTATGTCGGGGAGGACCCAACAGTAACAGTCGAGGCTGCAGCCTTGGGGCCTAATGGAAACGTAGGCCGCAGATTGATGTCAAAGGAACCAATGTCAATAGTCATGAATTTTGGTATTTCAAATAACTGGGCCTATATTGACTGGAACTCTTTAAATTTCCCCCTTACCATGAGTATTGATCATGTCCGAGTGTATCAACCGGAAGATGCTATCAATTTAACTTGTGATCCCGACGATTATCCAACTCTTGAATACATCCAAGCACATCCGAAGGCATATCAAAATAATAATCTTACAACCTGGGAAGAAACCGAATATGATTACCCCAAAAATTCCTTGGTCCATGGTTGCTGATTATAAATATTTCATTAACATTTCAATTCTCTACCATTACAGCCTCTTTAATTCCACAAGGCTTCTAAGCGTTTCTAATTCATTGAGTGCGTGTCCCCTATTCTTCTCACTCACACAATCCTACTAGGATCTTTATAGACAATCTATATTTAATGTAATTTAATGTATTTCAACACTGGTGTTTCAAATCATAACTTTCTATTCATGTATCATATTAACTGATTGTGTAAATAGTAAAATACTCGGATAATTATACTTCTATAGTTAGTAATTGCTATTAGAATTCTAAGGTTACACATATTCATGTATGTTATATGCGAGATTTTGATCACCGAAAGCATAATTATGCCCGTTACTCTCCAATTGACCAGAAATCATAATCATTTTCTATTTCGGGATATTCACGTTCGTAACCATGCATCACTCATAATCGCATCACTTGTAGTATATATCCATACACCCATACTATATTCAAGCATATCAGCAACCAGAATATGTAATATTGGTTGCACGTCATTAAACATCCATACATCATATAATATCTCATATCACTAGTTCAGCATCCGTCAAAACAAGCATCTCAAATAGATTTTCCGTCAATATAATTTTTTTCTATCATAATATAACATTATTACGATACAGATATATTGTGAACTAAATACATCACGGAAAGCAAGTTGGAATATACGTTACAATCATTAAAATAAAACTACTGCTAAATCATGGGCCAAAGAGATTTGACAGAGAATGTGCCATACAATAGGGAGCCCGAAGTTGAAAATCCATTCATTTCGCCAATAGACGAAGAAAGCTCTTATGATCTGAATCAGGATTTAACACCGAGCCAACTGGAAGATTATAACCCCATAAATACAAACGATCCTAATTACGGAGGAACATTCGACAATTATAATGGATATTACTCGAATAACGGGACATCATCGAACTTGTTGTCGAATGATGGAACATTTGAAGATACTCTGGGCGTCCGTAACTCTACGGGAATTGGTAGGGTAGGTTCGTCGCGAAATTTATATGTGCCACCAGAGTATGATAGATATCCGTCAATGGCGGGTTCACGAGCAGTGTCATCAACATCTCTCTCATCAGATATGTATAATAGCACGCAAAACCTTCGTAACCTGCAAAATTTACCTGAATCAGAAAGAGACGACTCTTCAATATCTAACAAGTCGGCAAACCCACTTGTTGAGACCGACTTCAGTCCATTCGGAGGATATCCCGCGACATCTTTTCCTTTGCATATAGACGAGAAGGAACCTGATGATTATTTGCACAACCCAGATCCTATTGCTGATGCGAAATATGACAAGAATAGATTCATATATGATTTAAAGAATATTGATAGAAGGTCTTTGGGTGGATTATTAGGAATCATTTTCATGTTGTTGGCAGCTATTGTTGTTTTTATTTTGTTGCCTGTGTTAACATATTCTGGTGTTACTGAGCCATATACTCCTGAGAGTTATGAAATATTGACTTCATACCGATATCCCTTGTTGAGTGCTATCAGAACTGATTTGGTTGATCCAGATACTCCTGAAACAGCTTTAACTAGAAAGGCTAATAACGGAGATACATGGAAGTTAGTCTTCTCCGACGAATTTAACGCAGATGGCAGAACGTTCTATGATGGTGATGATCAGTTCTTCCAGGCTGTTGACATATGGTACGGAGGTACTCAGGATTTGGAATACTATGATCCAGATGCTGTGTCGACTGCTAACGGTACTTTGAACTTGAGAATGGATGCATACAAGAACCACGATTTGTTTTACAGATCTGGTATGGTTCAAAGTTGGAATAAATTTTGTTTCACTCAAGGGTTACTAGAAATTTCTGCCAGGTTGCCAGGTTATGGTAATGTATCAGGATTATGGCCAGGTTTATGGACTATGGGTAACTTAGGACGTCCTGGATATATGGCTAGTACTGAAGGTG